TCCCCTCACCGGCTCTCGCTTCCCCCGGCCGCGGGGGATACGCGAATTTCGCCTTCCCGCCCTGCCCGAGACGCTTTCTCCATGGAAGGGTCTCCCTTCCCCAGGCAGCGCTGTGCTTCCGCAGTTTAACACTTAGGTTGGCGGCCGGCGAGAGATAAAGTTTCATCCTGTTCTCCTGCACCTCTTGGCCCTTGGGCAGCACCTGCGCTTTTCCCGCAGAGCATTACTGCCGTCCTTTCCCTGTTCGTCTTCCTTCACCTGTTCTTCCCACACCTGTCGCTCTTCCCCGCCGCCCTCCCCACATCCCCGCTGCCAGCCGGGACGCGCGGTGCGGGAGCGCTCTGCGTGTGTCACTGTCGTGGTTTGACACTGCGGGTGCAAAGTGCCAGGCACCAAAGAGAGCCGCTCACTCACCCTCCTCTTCTACAGCTGGGCAGAGGACAGAAAAATTTAACGGAGTCGTAAGTTAAAGCAAAGACCGGGAGAAAACACTCCAAGGACAAAACAGGCTCATCTTAGAGATAAAAAGTAAGTTTATTACTAACAAAATCCGAGGATAATGAGAAGTAAAATAAGCTATTAAAAACACCTTTTCTTCCACCAACCCCACCCTCCCCTCCACCGACAGTGCATGGAGACAGGGCATGTGGATTTTGGCCAGTTCATCACCCGAGGTTTTCTGTGACCCGTGGGGTCCCTTCCCACAGGACACAGTTCTCTGTGAACTTCTCCAGCGTGGCTCCAAATCTCAGGAGCAGCAGTCCTCCCAAAGCTGCTGCAATGCAGGTCCCTCCCAGGGGCACACAGTCCTCCCAAAACTGCTGTGCCCTGGGTCACTCTTCCACAGGTGCAGCCCTCCAAGGACAGGCTGCTCCAGCCTGGCAGCAAGGCTCCCTCTTCCATCAGGTCTCCCACTGGATCACAGCTCCTCCAGGCATCCACCCGCTCCAGCACCGGCGTCTCCCCATGGGCTGCGGGTGGATCTCCCTGGATCCCCGTGGCCTGCAGGGGCAGAGCTGCTTCTCCATTTCTCACTACAGCCTGCAAGGGAATCTCAGCTCCGGTGCCTGGAGCAGCTCCTCCCCCTCCTTCTTCACTGACCTTGGTGCCTCACATGTTCTCACCTCCTCCTCTTCTCTGGCTGGAATTAAAGCTGCACCCCTACTTTTGTTTTAATGTCTTCTTAAATATGTTATCACAGAGGCATTGCCATCATCTCTAGCTGGCTCAGCCTTGGCCAGCAGCATGTCCATCTTCAGAGCCATCAGGGATTGGCTCTACCAGTGGAAGAGTTCTAGAAGCTTCTCACAGAAGCCATCTCCATACCCCTGCTGCTACGAAAGACCAGGCTGCACAAAACCAACACACACACGAATGTTGGGAATAGCCATATCCACAGACAGTGTCAGCCCGAGCTTTTATAGGCAAGGCTGACTCCTCTCTGTATGTTTGGCAGATCCCAAACTGGTCAGTCCATTTCCAGAATATGGCTGTATGACCTGAGATAGCAGATCACTAGAAGAAAGGCTTGCCTCCAAACCTTTTGTTTTAGAAATAACAAAAAATAGTCAAAATTCTCTTTCAGAAGTTTAGTCCATACTGTCTCCACCTTGCCAGCAGCCATCCCTTTGAGACAATCTCAGACATCCCCAAATTCTGTAAGATTTCAGGTGGCCATGGCTACTTTCTCCTGCACAGATGACTGGTTACATTTTTTGAAGTTGTATTTCTCAATCAACATCCATAAAGTAAGAACTTGCTTATTTCCATAAACTAAGAACTTGCTCTTCTCCGTGCACTGTGTAAATTACAGGGCATGGCCTCTTGCGATTCTTATGCTGTTCTGTAATACTTGATCAGTCAAGAAGCGTAGTCTTAAAGGCAAGTACAGTTATATGAAATCCCATGTTTTCATACCTTTAATTAAAAAAAATTATCAAATATTATAATAGAGAACTTCCTTCTATCTGCAGCAGAGGTCAGCTGGTAATTTTCTCTTTCAATTCTCCCTGTAAGAAAACTTCTTTTGTTACAATAAATCACACTACCATTACTTCTTTGCAGGAAATCCTACCTGCAGAAGGATCTTGCCTTCAGTCCTGCTTTGATTTCTGACTTTCCTGATTATTCTTGTTCAGGAAAATGCTGTAATTATTTTTTTACAGACAAACACTGCTATTTAGGCTTGTTACACCATATTGTTCCACTCACCGTCCCTTGTATCATTCACCTGCACCTTCCCCTTCAAAGACTCATTCATAAAAGGCCACTGAAAAAAAGGACAGGAATTCCTAAAATGACCCACAGAAACAATCTTTCTGGTTTTGAAGGTCTAGGTTTTATTTTAGTAGCTTTCTTGTTCCTAAATGGAAGACTCTGTCACAGACGGAAATGAGGCAACTACTTCATATTTGTTCAGCTTAAATAAAGACTGAGGTTTTTGATGTAACTGCAGTAGTAGACTGAGTGTCCTGGGCTGAAATAACCTCTTTTGCATGTTTGGATTTTTGCGGGTTTTTTTTTTTGCTAACCAGCTGTAACACCGTGCTGAAATTCCCTGACTTTTTCACTGCTAAGCCTGACATTTATCTCAGCTCAGAAGAGATGTCCCAAAGTCAGAAGAAAAAGCTGAGGCTGTTTCTTTATAAAGGCAGCCTCAGGCAGCAGGACAAGACAGCAGGACTTTGTCTCAGCAGCAGAATGCCTGATTGAAATGCCTTTAAATGTGTTGTCTGAGAATCTTGTTTCTGTATCAATGTGTACCTTTTTAATGTATAAAAATTAGTAAATAAAATTTAATCTATGAAAACTGATTACATTTAAAACTTTATGGGTTTACTGTTTATGTTGAAAAAGGCTCTTGACACAAATATTCAAAATTCCAGTCAAAAAATTATATGCAGGTAGGCACCAAGTGTGAGGTTTGACAATAAAAGCTCAACCAATTGATGCTTGAAATTGCTCAGATAGGTCAGTCATAGCTTACAGTGGGAAATTGTTCTCAGAAAGATTGCATGAAGACTAATTATGTTACACATGAAGGAAGTATAACAAAAGATGTAGGATAGCCAGCAGAAACATTACACTTGAAAAAAACAGGATGGATTTGGCACTGCAACTGCTGCAGATAAAGTGGGAAAGCCTTGATATGATTGCAGCTTTTCTGGATTAAAAAAATTTAAAAGATTACCCGGGCAATATTTTTCTGCCTATGGTTTTAAATATCCAGGATAATACAGGAGAGGTCAAGCAGGTCATTCAGTGAGTCCAGAAGGCTCTGCAGTGGTGGGGACTGGCTCCATTTTCATTTATTGCTGAGGCAAAAGTGTGATAAAATGCTACAGTTTTTAAGAATACATGGTCAGAAAAAAAATATGCTTTTTATTTATGCAGCTTGAGAAGCTTGGGGTTTTTTTTTAATTGCTAAAGGTGGCAAGGCTTATCCATTTATATGCTGGCACAGTTGCTGTTGAAAAGCAGAAGAAAACAATGTTGTGCTATCAGTTGCTAGTTTGCATCCCAGTTCTGACAACCACTGTACTCCAGTGGGATGCCTGAGCTCCTGATTAAAATGCTCTGTTTCAGCCTTCCTCTTGTAACTCTCACATAGTCTTCTTTCTTCTACAGCATCACCCAGAATGTTCCACAAACCATTCTGGCCAAAAAAACCTTGGGTGGAGAAGTGGTAAAGAAGGATTTCCTCTGGTGTCTTAAGGTCAAGGCAGGGCAGAACCATAAACTCGGGAATTATTAAATGAAAAGTTCCTTTTTTCTATTAGCATGTAGTAAAGATAGCACTTTAATTTTCATTCCAGTAATTGCTTTCAGCTTCTCAGGGATCAAATTAATTAAACAGCAATGAATTATCATTCTACTTTGCATTTCTCTGTATAACCTTTAATCAAAATATAACTAGAAAATGGCACACATAA